CTTTGTTGCGCCGTGTCGACAACGAGGGTGTTAGGCTTTGGATGGTTAAATAAAAACTCCATGCCTTTTGCCAGTATAAATATACGTTGTCAGCCTTTTTATTTGTCGCTAGAGTGGAGACGGGTGTTTGCCATATATCGTTGGCCACTTCTAGGATTGCCTCGTCGCATGGTAGAGCCACCTTTGATGTTTGTGAAGGCTGTAGATTTCTTAGGAGATGGTGCTGCTTCTGCTGGACCTCTGATCGCGGCACCTTTTGGCTGTCAGCAATCCTTCTAAACAGTTCCAGAAATTGGCGTAAGTCGTCTGTGGGTGGGGAGTCTTCAGGGAAGACAGCATCATCGGGTGAAGAGGAAAAGATGTCTGCAGCAGAACAGTCTTGTGGTTCATCTCTGTCCAACAGCTGTCCCTCTTCTGGCTCAGACTGATGTGTTATGGGTGGCTGGTTCCCTGTGGGCGGTCTCACTGTGGAGGGAAAGGGAGAGTTTTGTCACGGGTTGCGTGTGTCCGATGATAGGACAGCGACTTGAGTGAAGTAAGGTCTGGTGAGTGAGAGAAACAGCTGTCATGACAACTGTGTCTATGCTGACGGTCGTAGTAGTGCGGGGAGTATCTGTGGTGATGGCTGTGTCTGTAAATCTCTCAGTACCTGGAGCTGGTGGAAAGTGTGGGGGACCTCGGTGATCTGGATCTACCCTGTGAGCGCACCAGAAAGGGTGATGGATAACTGTGCCGATGGTAGTATCTGGGAGAAGGAGAGGTACTTGGTGAGTATTGGTGAGTTCTGGATGGAAAGTGGCCTGAACGGATTGACGGAACTGGAGAAGATGAAAGGTGGTTCCGAAGAGAACACAGCCTGTTCCGGAGTTGGCGATGGGTTTGGTAACTTCTGCATTTCCCGATGTGCTTTGGTCAGTGCCAGAGAGTGTTGTGTTGGTGATGACAGCGGTGTCGACGTGGGAGCCAGTGCCACCCGGGTAGTTGCATGCGATGATCGTGCCGTGGTCCGGTGGCGCGCCATTGTCAGCTGGTTCACTGGTGCCGGGGTAGCCGGTGCCGCATGAGTCAGTGCCGATGTGTGCAGTGCCGTCAGTGTGGGATCCGGTTCTGGTGCCAGGCTTGGTGCCAGTCTGGTCTGCGTGGCCATTACCAGTTGTACTGTCAGTGCCAGTCTTGGTGCTGACGCACTGCGGACTTGCTTATGTTTGTCTGGTCAGCAGGCTGGACTTGTGCCCGAAGTGCCCGGTTTGCCTCCCATGCTCACACGGATTGCTGGCAGGGAGCGAGAGGGAGAAGGCCTTCTCTTAGAATGCGTCGCCTTCAGAGAAGGACGATGCTTGGCTGCTGGTAGTGATTGAGAAGGGCTGGGGGAGTCCGTTTGTGGCTGGAGTGCCTTATCAAAAAGCAGCATTTTCAGCCACATCTCCCGGTCCCATCACACTTGAGTGGTAAGCTTCAAGCAGTGGGGACATGTCTGGGGAATATGTCCCTCACCCAAACACCTTATGCATGATGCATGCCCAGGGCTGGATTAAGGGGGGGGAGGGGCTAGCCAGGCAGCTGCCCGGGGCACCAACTTATGGGGGGGATGCCTGATTGAAATGGTAAGGGGTGCCGCATGCCCGGAGGTGGGGCCGCACATGCGTCACACGCCCGCTGCCCAGGGCGCAACTGTGGGCTCCGTCCAGCACGGTGCGTGCCCATCAGACGCGGGCATTGGATTGCATCATGTGCTGCACTTTTTGAAGCCTGGTGATCCCAGCATGTCTTCCTGAAAAACGTCCTTGTTTTTGTTTTTCCTTTTTTTGTTTGTTTTCAAAGTGAACATGCTGAACTATCTACAATTACTAACTAATAACTAGGTGACAACTACTAAGTATTTATGATGTTTTTGTCTTCATTCCTGACAGGATTAACACGAGAGGAGCTGGTTAGGAGGAACTGGCGGGAGCTGGACCATGCGATCAGAAACGGCACGAAAAGCCGCGAGATGACCGACATGCATGCGTAGTCCGGCAGACAACTGCTAAAAGATCTGCGAGCTGTAGTACCGGGACAAGTCCGATTCCAGCAGTGAAGCACCCATGGCGACACTTCTCGAAGAACACCACATTCCCCTCAGTTGAGGTAGAAACACACCTGTGAAGCAAGACCAGTTCTATGCGTACACAGCCCTCATGTTCAAAGGCAGCTGTTGCAAGAGAAGTCTCCAGTTGTGGCCTGGTGAAGGGGACCTCTGCACACACTGCATGAGGTTGTACCATAAGTTGAGGGAGTGCAGGGCTGCCAGCAGCCGAGTGACCAGCCAGTTGAGACAGGCTCAGGAGGACTCGAACACCACTACCAGCCATGCCTGAAGTGGGAGGAGGCATAGACGAGCACGATGGAAGATACGGGTCTAGGCCATGTGTCCGAGGAGCTTCGTGCAGTTGTGCACTTCGCTGAAGCCCAGCGATGCCAGCAATGACCTGGAATCAAGCAGGGCCTCAATGAACTCAGTTCTTCGAATGAGAAGAAGAGTGAACTTCTGCACATTGAGGACAAGACCCAGTCAGGAAAACGTGCCCGACCAGCTCCATGTTCTAGACCACTTGCTCCTGAGACTTGCCCTTGGTGAGAGATGGCAGTGGCACCCCACCTTTGAGGATACAAACCCCTTTTCAATCTATTACAGTTATGGGCTCCCACCCCACCCAGACAATATAGCTGTGCCCACAGCCTACATGTCCCTTAGCCCACGCTGCCCCTCAGCCCACTGGGGACCTGCGGGCTGAGGGACTTGCTTGCTGACAGCAGGGAGATGCTCAGCTGCTTCCTGAGCTGCGGGATGCAACATGGGCTAAAGGATGTACTGGCTGCGAGAAGCTCTGCGTGGCTCCCCCGACAGTAGCTGACATGATGGATACTGGTAGGGAAAATCTTTGATGGCTATGCGCACAGTGCACATGTTTGAGTGATTGTTCGTGTGCATTCTAAGAAAAACAAGTTTTGAAATAAAAAGGAACTACCTTTCCTTGTCCTGATCTATGTATCACGTGCATCCCTCATGTCAGCCCGTGCGCCATATGTCTAGTTCCCAGCTAATAGGTTTACACATTTGAATTAGGGATGTTAACATGTGTTTATTTTGTTAAACTAATCAAGCTCTCTGCAAGCACAGGCTCCTGCCTCCCCACCATCCCTTACACTTGTTGCTGCCTTTCAGAGGCACGGGGAGATAAGAGGGAAGAAGGCACACTTAGTCATAAAGATTAATGGATAGATATGTTTACACTATCACATCCCTAGTTTGAATGCAATGAGCACATACTACTCTGAGACTTGTCAGAGTAGACATATGGATTTCAGAGGGGTAGCCATGTTAGCCTGTGTATGCAAAAAAACAGTGAAGTGCTGAGGTACCTTAAAGACTTAACTTAGGTTTATTTGGACATAAGCTTTTCTGGGTAAAAGCCACTTTGTCAGCCGCATCTGACTCCTCTCTTCATACTCATTGCACACTGTAGTGACATTTAAAAGGTGGGGTTTTTGCCCCCAAACGAATCCTCACAACATACGTACAAACATTATTTACTGTCTTTTTTAAAATGCCAAATACACACTAATAAAGTGCAATTTAACCTAAACGATAACGACTGTATAGCCTTAGGCTACTTTTGAAACTTTATGACTCAAGATTTCCTTTAGGCTACATTTCTCCAAACTGATACTTATTGAAGCCACTGAGTAAAATATCTGTGTTCCTGGTCAAGTGCCATGACATTTGGTCTAAGTATCATGTAACTGACTAATCAAGTAATAGCCATGACATTTGATCTAAGTATCATGTAATTGACTAATCAAGTAATGCATTTTTGTATCACCTATTCGGTTCGTCGATAGGGCGGCACTGCCCTTTTAAACACCGCTGTGGTGTTTCAAAGCAGCTGTGCTGCACAAAGCCTAGTGTCAGCTGGAGAGACCTCAGCTGACCCCAGGCTCCAAGCAGCGCTGCCCCCCCCAGTGCTGCCTCTGAAAGGCATCTCGGGGGGAGGCGGGAAGAGGAGGAGGAGGAGAATTGACTAGTTGACTATCATGTTGATTATCTCATAAGCAAATGCTTATGGGATAGTCAATTAGTCCTTAACATCCCTCATTTGATCAGGTTGGTTTAAGTATTTTTCGTGCAAAAGGACAACCTACTTGATATTGGAGTTCTAATTGTGGCTTTCCCAACAACATGCTGCCAAAGAGACACAGACATGCGATTCATCTTTGTTTGTTTTCCCTGGAAACACTTTGGAGCAGGGACTGTCTCTTAGAAGCTTTATATAGTGCTTGATAAGTTAAACTATCATAGCCAACAGTCCTATTAACATCTACAGCTCTTAAACACTGGTTTGATTCTTCTGACACGCGTGTGAATTAGGGATGGCTCCACTGTAGTTAAGTTACATTGGAATAAAGCTAGTGCAAAGACAAGTCAGGTCTACTTAACCACATAAGCCTTCTCTGAAATAAAGGCCAGTTTAGTGGAGTTGTCCTAGCACTGCTGTTGGACGGAAGCACATTTAAACATGCATACAACTACAGCTTAAAAAGCCTGCTTGCTGTGAGAAAGATCAAAATGTAATCTGTTTTTATTGTTGCTCTAGGATTTAAGGTTTTGTTTTTAAGAGCATTGCTGTCAGCACAATACAGCTAGCAGTCGATGTTCCCTCTAGTTTTTTCCATCCCTGTGGGGAATAAATTGTGTGCTCTCAGGGATATGCAGGTGTGCACTACTAGTAGAAACACATGCTGCGAGCTGTGGGTGCTCTGCTAAGTAGCCGTGCAGCATGTGACTCTTTCCTGGGCGACTGCCCAAATATTCAGCTTGCAGGGAGCACTGCTAGCAGTTTGTACAGGTTATTCTGAATAGATCCATGTACTATATGGATACAAAGTTTTTTTTGAAAGACATTTTAAAAGTAAGGAACATATTATCGGGGGGGGGGGGAAGATAGCACATGGTTGTCTACCTCCATGCTTGTATTGGGGTCAAGGTCATCACATTCCGATTCCTCGGAGCTGTTTGTCTCCTTGTTTGGCAGCATGAAGAGGAAGAAAGAAGTACAAGGTTAGAACACATTTGTTAGGCTGAGAGCAATTGAAAACTTGCGAGCAGCATGGAAATGTGTACTGGTAAAGGAAATGCTTCAAAACCAGGAAACCAACAAAGGCAGCAACATGCTGTTATGAAAGGCCAGGTAATAATTTTGCAACAGTTGTTTAAGTAATAAGAAATTATGGAAGGAAGCAATAGAAAGAACCATGTACATCTGCCAAGCTGGAACAACTACTTCTTCGCATCTAATTCTTCGATAGTTTTTAATGTCGGCAAAGTGGGTGTAAAATGCAACCAACAAAAGGTCCTCTTCACACTCCATATGTTTCAAACACACAGTTTGATACATTCACTTAGATCACACACTTTACTGACTAGGAATGGAACTAAACATGCATAAAGTGCCGTCCTGAACTGGGACCTGGGTTTTGTTTGTTGCATAAAATTTTGCTATAAGAATTTGCTTCACCTTGTTGGAGAATGAGCCCTCCATAGGTGCTAGGGAAGCTTCTTTAGCTTTTATGGACATTTGTGCTATGTATTAGAACATATTAGTTATATAGCTATAGCAGAAGATGGATCTTAAATGATAGTATGGGAAAGCTTAGGAACTAAAATGCATCCTTTTAGCCACACACACACACACCAGGATCAAGTCCAGTCCCCCCTTTTCTAATATGGAGGAAAGAAGCAGCTGACAAACCTCCCAACACTTGGCTTGGACCCAAAAGTTGAAAACCATCATTAGCCTTAAGATAGAAGGTGAAATTCTGGCCCTGTTGAAGTAAGTGGCAAAACTTCCAGTGACTTCAGTGTTACCAGGTTTCACTCTGTGCTTTCACAGGCCCTTTGCCTCGGTATAGCTGGTGACTGAGTGCCAAGTTTAGTAAAGTTTGCTCCTGCCCACAATTTGCATTTCGACTGCACACATGAGTAGTCTATGTAAATGAGAAATACTTACTTGCAGTTTGGATGCCAGGAAAAAACCCAAACACAAAGGCTGCATTTTATTTTGCATGCAAAATCCTGTAACATGGGAACTACCCCCAAAAATTATATAAACAAAAATCAAAGTGTCACCCCCATCTCTCCAGAGAAAGAGGATGCCAGAGGGGGGTGAGGAAGATGGGAAGCAGGAGAGTGGCCCACAGCTTTAGATGGCCTTACTCACTTTAACAGAGACTTTGGTGCCCAGAATATCCTTGGATTTACGTGGCCCATTGGCTTCATTTTTGCCACTGCTCTCCTTTTCCGCCCGCTTTCTCATGCGCAGGGTATGCCATGAACATGACTTCCTGTTGTACCAAAAAATGCACCAATCAAATAGCAGATCATGGCAGGGAAGAAAGGATGTGGAAAGGGGACCAGCAGCCACATTTGAGTACTGCAATTTCCTAGAAAGTAAGAGTCACCAGCAATGCAGCTATTTCAGTTTCAGCAATATTAGAAAACCATTTCAGCAGTTCTACTAGCAAATGTTCTACTTGCTGTTTTAATACATTAAGTAAAAAAGCCAGTTCCCTAAATCAACTGGGCTGTCTCAACTTCAGATAATCTGTCTTGAGGGACTTCAGCAATGAAGGTTTGTGACAAGTGCAAGTGCTAAAACATCAATCCAATTTAAAAAATCTCGTCTATTCAAGCAGTGGAAAGGATGCAGATATGATGGGAATGGGGTCTTAATGGGCTGAACTGATACAGCAAGCCCAAGTGTTCAGAAGTTCTAGGTGGATTCCTGGAGCTGCTAAGCACATGAAATGCAAAAAACCCAACACATAGTAACTAGGTCATTAGGATTTCCAAGAGTAGTAGTTCTGGGAAATAAGCTTTGCTATACTTCTTGGGGTCAAGAATTTCCTGTTAAACACAGTTGCATTTGGTTAATCCAATTGTCTGATGTTTTCAAATCTGTATTTGTTGACTAAACAGAACACCAAATTAGTGATTTCCATTTCCAGGCCATATTTACTGTCTCCATGACCTTGTCCTTGGAAAAAGGTCATGTCACCCTTTAAGAAAAATGTCGTGGAGACCGGAGAAATCATAGCTCAGAATAGACATCAAATTAAAGAAAGACATCTAATATGTAGTTTGCTTTCACAGCAGAATGTTTACCATTTGAGGCTTTTTTTTTCTTCATATTCACTCAAAGCACAAAGTTCTCAAAAATGGCAGTGGAATGAACTGGAACCCAGGTTACAAGCATTGCACTATTCTGTCCACCTTTAAGGCATGCAAATCACATCTGAAGCCCAATGTTTGGCTCACGGTCGCATCTATAATACCTGGATACATTTTACAAAGAAAGTTGCATATAATCCAACAATAACCTGATGCCAATAAAATTGGACATTATTTTACACTCCAGAACGGTAGATATTTTGTATTCCAATTCTGAAGTGCTTGCGTTCATTATGCGTTGGCATCAGATTAATATGGTACGTCATGTTAAGATTAAAACTACAGACCTCTTCTTGTGTTGGTGTGTACAGCTGTTAGACTACACTGGTTTATGTTAGCTGAAACTGTCCCAGCCAATTTGAGAGTGTCCACACTACAGCAACACAAAGTCATGTGTGAGAACTAGTTATGGGCATTTGCATTCAGTGAAGAGGAGCACCAGGAAGGAACATTATATAAATGTCTCACATCTCTGCAGTTTGACAGGAAAACTCAGGACAACACTCTCATTTTGGCACTTCTAGGGGATATTCAAATTAGATATGTAATGCAGTGGGGAGTTCTCTCAACACTGCAAAACTCACTAGATTTCAAAAATTTAAACTTCCTATTTAATATGGATCAAGTCAATGATGGACTGACGGGATTCTTTTCTCTTATCCCCAGCTGGCTGGCCTATCACCAGCAAGATCAAACAGAATATGATAAGCGCATACTGTAGCTGCTTTAACATGATTTACCCCATTTTTAAACCATTTATGGTAGTATAGACAAAGCTGTACATCACATCCAAAGTTGGCCATTTGTTTTTTACAATACACAGAGTTCAGTTAAGCAACCATTTATTCCCAGAGTATGATTAGAGTATTTGAGAGATTTAAATCTCAAAAAAGGGGAGAAGAGAAGTGCAATGTGCTTCATTCACTACAGCGGTTTTTGTTTAGTTCTCTTTGCAGAAGCTTCAATTTACCATTACTCATTGGGGAATCTAATGCTGTTCACAAACAAAGGCACACAATTTCACACCAATGCTAGAAAAGAATGCCACTGAGTCTCTAGCTAACTGGAGGACCTTAGGTTTAGTCTATATTTTATACTGGAGGACCTTAGGTTTAGTCTACATTTTATACAGGTTTTGACCAGGAGCAATCAATCTTGTATAAGAATACAGGTAAACCCAATGTGCGTCACTTCAGCAGAAATCAATTTTCTTAAAAATCGGTCCTTCGAATCTACACCTTGAGGCACTTATGTAACAAGATTCTTTAGCATCCATTGTACTAATGTTAGGTATTAAAGAAAACAGGTATTACTGAAAAGAGTTGTACCTTCTGTATTTAATACCAAAAGACACTTTCTTGCATTTAGCCATTTCAGATTGACAAATTTCTAAAAATCAGAAAAGAAAAAAAAAAATCCACACATTTGTTAAAGAAGCAGCAAAACATTGTAACAAAAAGAAAACAAAAGAGGGTCAAACTAGTCCTTTTAAACCTCATTAAAACATGCTCATTGAGAAAATTTATTTTACATATTTAAAATAGTACATTTAAAATTAGTTACATTACAGGTACAATGATGAACATTGCGACTATCCATTATATTGCACAACCTGACTTCATCAATATGGGTTTCTTTAAATAGTGCAAAATATTTTATACAGGAATGTATTTAGAAGGGAGTCTTGCCAACAAAAAATATTTTACAAAAAAGTTACTGTGAACAGAAAAAAAGTCAAAATAAAAAAAGATACAAGCTGTACAAAGAAATTGCCATAGACAACAAAATCTCTCCTCCTTGAGAAGCAGGCCTCTGTCCAACACAAGGCCTGATTTTTTGCTAAATGCTGTTAGAACCAATATATATATATATAAGTAACTTAATACAACATAAATATAAGTCCAGTCCAATCAGGTCCATGTTGATGTAAAATGGATCAACATAAAACATGCCGTTAAATTGTCTAGGATTTTAAATTCTTTACAAAGTATAAACAAACAAAAAAAGCAAACAAAAATAATCAAACCCCGAACTATCCAACATGGATGCCCCATGTTGCGGATTGAGTATTCAAAGTTTGTTAAAAAAGCAGCAGGACCTCCCTACCACTTTTGTTTTTTTTCTCCTCAAAAATCCACATACTGCTCCTAGGGAAGCCAACATGGCACTTACTTGATGCTTCCGTCGCTATTATCTGAAGTGGATTTAGTGAGGGGAGCCAAGATATTGCCTGGAATCCATCCTTCAGCAGCTGGGGAGTGGTCGTTTGCAGGCTGGTATACCAGGAACATGTTTTGCTGGTTGATGGCAAGGATCTGAACCACCTCGCCCTGATTCACACAGATCTCATTCTCTTTCAGTGCATAGTAATCTTTGATTACCACCATGGAAGAGGTCCCATTGCACCCTGCCAAGTCACTCTGTGAAGGGGACACCACAAATTTTTAGTAAGTGCCTGCTCCTGGGGGGCTGGGGGGGGGAAATAGGAGAGAGTTGCCTCTTTCAAGACCCTGGAAGCTGTGCACCTCTATGGCCACACAGCTGACTAGTTAGTGACACGCAGGTGCTCAAGGTACCCATCCAAGGCAGTCTTGCCAGCTGGAGCCACCCTACCCACAACCCAGGCTGGTCCCAGAGCTCTCCCCTTGCCATGGCCATGATGGCCCAGACCCTACATCAGGATCTGCACACCCTCAGCTCCAACCCAGCCCCGTCTGCAACCTTCAGTGCCACAGTAGGGGCGCCTATCCTGCCAACCCCGTAGCTGCCATGCCAGGGAGAAGTGCCTTCACCCTCCCACCCCAAATCTAGATGCTGCAAAGACGGCAGCATCCTCTCTCCTTATGGCAGCCCCAGAGTACCCTCCTAAAGCCCAAATGCCTCAACCTGTCCTCACCCCAGAGCCCACACCCCCAATCAGAGCCTCACACTCTGCAACCCAACCCTATGTCCCCATGGCCACCACAAGTTTTATGGTGTGACATCACCTTCATATTTGTGCCCATAAAATTCATTCTGCTCCGGCACAGGGAACATTAGAGCAACACTGACCAGGGCACTTTTCAGACTAGTTAAGAAAGGAGAGTGGGCAGAGATACAATACCTGGCTTTGTTCATATGTGTCCCCAGGCTGGTGGTGTTCATACCCTGCACTGCCATTGGAGGTAGATATCTTCAGGGGTGGCAGAGATGGGTTACGGCTTGTAGCCTTTGAAGGCTTCTCAGACCCTACTGGAACAGAAGAATAGGGTCTGCTGTTGGGCTGAGACACCCTACTAGCTTGTGGCCTCATTACTGCTGAGGTACTTTCTTTGCGCTGATACTCTATGGGCGACTGTAGTGCTGCAGGAGAGGAAGAAAATTAGATGAACTGCTGCTTGGGACACCATAACCTGATGCGTACCATATGACTTGCATAATGCTGTTTCAAAGTAAATCCAAGGGATACTCAACTGCATCACACATGGAAGAGTACATTTACATTTCGATATCTTGAGGCCACCTTGCAGTGCTGTACATGATGTTTTCATCACAGCAGTAAGAGGAATCTGTGTCTAGTGTAGCTGGTCTAATGCTACAGGGTACTAAAATACTTAGCCCTTCAAACAGAAATAAACAAGTTCACAATTTATTCCAAACAGCATACATCAGGATGACTCAGCAATCCTTTACATGTTTTTGTCATTAGTACTTAACTAGTGTGAATTTATCCAAGTCCTAGACAGCCAGGTTGCTAATAGTGACTGACCCTGCTATTCACACAGGTGGTGGAGAGGGAGTTTGTGCGTGCAACTGCTGAAATTTTCAGCAGTTACATGTGTTTAAAGTACGCAATCATTTTAAAATCCCTAATAGCTAGCTTGATCCAGAGCAGTGCCTGGAAGCTACCCACTAGACAACTGGTATGGATGGCATCAGAACATTAACCTCAGCTGGTCATTCCAGAAGATGCCTGTACCATGATTATAAGAAACCTTGGGGACATACCATAAGCCAAATCAGAGGCTTTTGCAAACCCAAGTTAATGAGCCTGGGATCAGGAAAAGGTGCTTAGGTCTGAAGAGATTGGTAAGGAAAACGAAGGCTAGGAAATAGGTGTCTATGTTTGAGCTGGTGGGGAGCTGAGAAGGAGAAAGAGGACTATCTTTGAGTCTGCAAATCCAATGATAAATTAAGGTGTAGGTGGGGTACTCTCGTGTTGGAGATAATTTGGAGGGGGGAGAAGTGTGGAACTAGAAAGAAAGGTAGAGGTTGCCATTTTCTCAGCCTCTTTTTATTGTAAAGTATCCCAGTTCTCCACTCTGAAGGGGAAGGGAAATGAAAAAAAAAAAAATTTTTCTTCTGACTGTCACCCTATAGCGTCCCCTTTTCTACTTGAAGAGTTGATCAACTACAGGAAGTGGTAAGAGGTCTTGTGACAGCTTCTATCAAGTTCATTGGCATATTTAAGCACCAACTATCACTGTGAGCTGCTCTCAGACAAAAGTTTAGGAGCAGCTTTAAGCTCAAGTCTTTCCACACATACTGCCATTGTTCAGGAGAGCGAGAGAGACAGACAGACACAAAAAACCCACACACAGATCAAAGACTATAAGCACCTAAGCATATGGATTTGGTGTTTGATCTGTCCAAAGCCATTGAAGCTATATGACCTACATTCAGAGAATCATACTCTGTACATTGCATTCCATTTAGTTATCTCTGGCCAGGCTACCTAATTCAGCAATGGGAAAATGCAGGACAGTGTCACAGATAAAATTAATCCACTCACAAAACAAGCATCCCTCTCAATATCGAAGAGATGAAAAAACTTCACAAGAGATAAACAGACTCCAGGATTTCAACCAAAGTGGATAAGAACAGTTTTTAAAATAAAAATGAGACTTTAAATCAACACACACACACACACACACACACACACACCTCATTTTAAATGAGAAATGTAGTAGCAATTAAATCTCATCATAAACATGTGATACCTACACTTACAGTCTCAAATATTAATGTATGGCTTTACTCTGTCCAGCCTAGCTACCAGCTCTTGCTTCTGGAAAGTTCTGGGCAAACTAAAAAGTAACGTGCAGAAACAGACGAGCGGGATAGAATTGTTGTGTGTTCTGCTATGCTTGGCTGACGTCTACCACATCATAAGCAAAGAAGAGTTAGTTAAGTCATTGCCTTAAAGAGAGACAATATAGGAAAGTCAGAGGCAGCACAGAAAGGAAGGGTGGAGTAGACGGGAAAGAAAAAAGGGAAGACCTTCAGCACATAGCTTTCTGTATCCCCCCTCCACTTTTTTGCCAAAGAAAAATTGTCATGGCTTCTGGGCATAGATGCACCCCTATCTGGGAATACTCTGAAGAAATTCATTCCCTGAGTAAAAAAGGAAAATGTATAAAGCAGAGGCAGCACAAGAAGATGCAGAGTCTAGTTACAAGAATGAATCATAAGCAAAACTGCTTATTGGGAGAAAATGACAGGGATGAAGATGTGGATATGGCTGGACTGGACCAACTGGTTAGTAACTTAATTAAAAAAAAAAAAATCAACGAGTTGCCCCTATGGTAGCTTAAAGGCTAAGGGATTTATTTGGCCATTAGCTTTTGTGGGAGAAAAATTATGCATTGATTTTTAAGATGATCTTAGTACAAGTATGATTTGACAAGTAAATTCCCAAGCAGTTTGCTGTGCTGGATGTTGCTTTAAAAAAAAAGTTTAGCTCAAATAATCTTCATGGCTTGTTTAACTACTAAACTAGGTTCCAAATCTATCACTCAAGTATACAATACAGAAATCTGCAGCAACAGAAATTGAGTTGCCAGTGGCCATTTTCTTTTATGTTTCATAATACATGGCTCTTATTTTGGAAGACCATGGTCATGGACCATATTGATCTATGACCATAAGTCGATTCCCTATTTTACTTCAGCATAACTCAGCTTTTTCAAGGGAACCCTAGCCTGTCCTTGGTCTCAAAAAACAGAAGTGCCAGTGAATTCAATGGGACTTGCTTCCAAATGATGTGCACCATAAGCACAATCAGTCTTACTTTCTTGGTAACTTGATTTAAATAATTTGTTAGTGATTTAAGTCAATGATTTAAAAATCAATCCATCCCGATGCTTACTCAACAGTGGAGGGAAGGAATAATTTAATGCCAAAATAAGTGATATTCTCTTTTCCTCTCTCCAACATGAAGTAGGTAGAAAGCTCGGTCTCATAGTTGCTCTCTGCATTAGTTTGACTGGACTTATGCGGCACTGACCTTTGAAGGGGCTGCACCCAAAAGAGCAATCAGACCCCTATGAAAGCAGAAATTAGGCAATTCATCCAACCAAACCCTCCAGGCATTCTGAACGTCAGACATATGCGATGCCCTGTGCTCTCCCAGAAGTACATCAGCAAATGTTTTAGAAATTCAGATTTCTGGGCCAATTTTTCAAACCCCTTTGAGTTGAGGCTAATTTCGGCTCTTGTTTCAGAGCCCGACTGCCCCTCAGTATTAGGGACGCAAACAAAAGGCCATTCTGGAATGAATGGATTCTGATAATGGCCTCTGATTGCGATTATATTTACAATGTTGAAAGCAGTTAACAGACATCAGCAGACCTGACTTTGAAAAAGTGAGGTAAGTTGTAGAAGGCTTTCACCACAGATAACTTCTGGCACCCCAGAATAAAACTGGTGGGATCAGCCTGTGAACCTCAACAGCAGACGAAGCCAACCATATACATTAGCAGAGAGTCACGAGTGCTGAACGAGACCCCACTTGTTCTTGGGCCGGCCAAAAATTCTATGGATCCATTAACACATCAGAGAGCCTTATAAACATTTTGGGACACTTCAAAGATCTGAGGATTATGGCGGCATTATGTCTTCTCCCACCCTGACTCATTGGCCACCTAGATGCTCCCCACTACAATGCAGTCCCTGAACTAGGCAGTGAGATTGCTGCAAGAGATAGGACCGTGCAAGTGCATGAGCCTTTTTTCTACAAGAAAAAGGGATTATCAATATAATAGAGGACACCTAAGACTCAGGGGACATGGTCTGGCCCTGCGCCAGGTACTTAAAGATGGGCAACCTGGATCAAGCGTTCCGCTTGAGATATTTCTTTATGAACCTGAAGGCGATGAGTTTTTCAGCAGAAGAGAACATTTGAACATTGCAGATTCCTGTTAATGCAGAAGACATGGCACAGGGAGACTACGTACCATTTAGGAAGTCTCTCTGTGTGTCCAGGACCTGATTGATGTCCTGTACCCAAGCTTGCTGAATTTCAGGATTAGCAGCCTGTAAAATGACTCGTTCCGAAGTTTCCCGGTTCATCAGAGCAAATTTACAGGGATCATCATCCACTATTTCTTCAATTATTAGGTAGTTCATCTGCAATAAGTCCAATGAACCTTGGGTTAAATTGGAGAAGGCTCACAGCACTCAAAGAAAAGAAAATATGGCACTAATTTCCTGAACATAACAATCAGAACAAAATGCCATTGTGCTTGAAGTTCCTGACCATGTCTAATGAAGCTCTAGCATCCTACAGGCAGACTTCAGGGTTAAGTCTCAACATCCATCTGCATAATCTTGAGTGGTTATTTTAAAAAGGAAGTTTAATATCATCATGGCGGACTGATCAAAAATAAGCATAACTTAAGTGTGACAAAATGCCTCCCAAGAGCTGAAGAACAAAAGCAAAAAAACCTTCCATCCCTCTAAAACAAGAGTTAATTACATCGATGTAAACACTGCTTCTCCCCTTAAGGAGTACTGGAATGCAGCCATTAGTCATTTAAGTTTGGACTGTGGACAGATACACTAAAGAATAGTTCTCCACTGATGATACAGGATATTTTTCCTCCAAGTACTCTACTGCTCAGGTCACTTGCTGTAAAATGACTCCATTAGGCTGTGAGCCTGTAAACACTTCATGTGCCTATCTTGGACTTCATTGTAACGACTCAAATGTCTAAAGATAAACACGCAAGTGCATCCAAGATGCTGCTGGGTCTGTTAAACGTTTGAAGGGTCTGAAACATGATTAAAAGTCAAACCACTCTTACCCCTTCTCTGATCTGTTAGCTTTAGCCATTCTTGCAAACAGGCACACTGCTGTTTTACTCTATACCCCACAAAACGAAAGAGAGGGGACATCGAGCTAAGGTATTTCCATTGTGCACAGTGAGGTATTGACCGTTTGTCAACACCCATGAACTAGCTCAAAGTGATGTCATCTCATTTTCAGTTCCTCAACTACAGACCTGCCTATCAAGTGAATGGGGAAATTCTGCAAATCAACTTAATTGGAAAAAAAACCCCACCGAAAGCAAAACATCACATTCTGCAGAATTCTAAGGGCATGTTTTCACCGCAACAATTATCTTGTGTTTACTCTGCTTAAGTGAGGGCTGCTCTACACTAGGAACTTACATTAAATAGCTACATTATCAGAGGTATGGATTTTTCACACCTCTGAGAAATGGAGCTGCCCCAGGGGTGGGCAAAAGGGCCTCTGCAGGCCGGATCTGGCCCAGAAGGCCCTGCTGCTCCTTCACCTTCAGGCCCTGCAAGGAGTGTGAGGTGCTTAGAAGTGCCATGTGCTCCTGGCAGGGTGTGAGGAGACTCTGCACACTCCCAGGGCTTGGGGCAGAAGAGTGTGTGAAGTCTCCTCCTGCCCTGCTAGGAGCTCAGCACTTCAAGTCAACCACAAGCTGCAGCGCAGCTGGTGGGTGACTAAGTGCAATGGTCCCTTGCAGGGTGCCCCCCTCCCCAGGCCCGGATTGACTGGGGACAACAGGGGGGAGCATGCGAAGGCTCTTCCCACTGCCAGGGGCATGGGTACCTAGAGGGAGTCACCAGCTGTTCAGAACAGCCAGCAGTTCTGTATGAGAGGGGCAATGCACAATCACGGTCCATGGATGGTGAAGCACGGAAGTGTCCTGCCCCTTCCGCTTGAGGTCCCATCTCTTCTGGGTCAGCCTAGGCCACTTCAAAAGTTTCTGAAGTGGCCCCTGGTGTCAAAAATTATTGCCCACCTCTGAGCTAGGTCCATTTAATGCTCAGTATAGATTCTATTTGTATTTCTTCTGTTGACCCAGCTACTGCCTCTCAGAGAAGTGGATTACCTATGTAGCTAGAACCACCCCAGGTAGTCTCAACAGTGTTGCCAGCTGCAGCATTCCAAGCCTAGACAATCCACAAGAGTAGTGATCAAACCACCTCAAGCAACCCAGAGTGATTGGATTAGCAGAGTGTTAGAACACACCAGCATCTAATAAAAAAACAAAAACAAATAGCTACATCCTGACTTGAGTAGGACTCAAGTTTCAGTTTACTCCCTGATGAGCTGGCTAGTTTAAGCTTGAAGCACAACTTAAGTCAAATTAGAGACCTGTGTGCAAATCAGAGCTGGATTGGGGCAAAACTGGAGTGATAGTTCAAGCTAACAATGTAGCAAAAGCATGCCCTAATGTGTAATTTAACTGGAAGCCATCAGGTTGCTCTAGCCAAAGTTTGCTTCTTTTGGCATTTGTACATAGAAATCATAATCGCTCTTTTCAACATGCAATGCAAGAATTGCTTTGTGCAGACAACCTATGTTGGTACACTTTCTAGAATAACCACCTATGGAGAAGTCAACTTTTCCTCCCCTCTAGATTCAATATTGATGATATGTTGTTTCTTTCTACCCCCCACAGGAAGGGAGAAGGTAGGAAATGATTTCAAAATTTAAGAGCTTTGCAGAAATCAGGATTTACAATTTTTCTTGAGATTCAGTTTAATATTAGTTGAATTCTTACAATTACCACCCTCTTGAATAATCTTTCTTGAAACAATTGAAGTAGGACAATGACAATAGCAAAGGCTAAAGATTAAGGCCTCCTGATTCAGAAAGCATTACTGTTAAGAGTTAAGATCATGCCTAAGTTCTGAATTGGGATCCAAGATCATTTTAGTTCAATTACCTTCCTCCACTCCTAGTGGAGAGAAAATTAGTAAGCCCCTTCTCCTGCTATAATTAGAAGCCCTTCATTAGGCCCAACTCTTATTCAGGCAAGACTATGTTAACTTTTCAGCCTTGCCTTTTGCGGTGTATCCTGTAAAGTCAGCAACTGAATTGTGTACAGGAAGATTTAGGTCTACAAGTGGCACTTGAAAACTTGTATGCCTAACAGTCCAGAGCATAGGAAGGTTATGGTTAAGTAGCACACTTATCAAATACAACTTTCCCATTCCCCATTTCTTACCTTTATGCTTCTCTTAAACATGTAGCCTGGTGTTAAGGAGCCTTTCCTAAGAAGTTCACTGAAGATTACAATTTGCTCAAAGAGGAAGACCCTGCGCTCCTTTGGCCGAGACAGTCCTCCAGAATCCTGTTCAGTTACATAGAATGTATCCTGTTGTAACAGCTTTCCTTGAGCAGTCAGCTTGCCCTGAGAAAAAGAAGTTGCTAACTTGAACACACATGGGGAAGATAATTTTTTTTTTAAAGTCACATGGCTCAACAGCTGATCTGCTAGAGCTCACATTCTGAAGTTTGCAAAGTCTTTCCCTTCCCTAACAAGAGTTCAGAGTGCTAACACAGCTGTTCTTAAGCCTTCTCATCACTGGTGTTTCCAAGACAGAAAATGTCAAGTCCCCAATGGAATGGTTTTATCCCTGGTTTCTAACTACCTTCCCATTATAATTTGCACCATTTAAGACACATCAGGCCTATTGTTAGAGATTAGGCATTTTACCAGGACAGCCAGCTCTTATTTTGAATTAGTCAACTTGGTACATCATTTAAGAGCCCCCTTTGAGCACAGATGCTCAGCATCATGTTGAGCTACCTCACTCAAGATACTGGGTTGCCATATAAGTGGGAAAAAGTCTGGATGGGAGGCTGCTTATTTTGGCAGAGGAAGAAATAAGTAGTCTGCAATTTAAGCTGTGTCAAGTCTTTGTAGAATAGCTCAAGCTCTTCCTCCGTGCTGTCTGACATGGGTGCATACACCTGAACGACTAAAATGTAAACGAACGAGTGAAAAGTTAAGACCTTGGTATTTGGCATAATGAATGTTTCGAATAGGAGAGGCAGACCCCACAGAGAATGGGTAGATGATATAGTAGACTGGTGTGGAGCTAGTCTACAGAAACTAAGCCACTCCACATCGGACAAGGAAAGAAGGAAGGAAATAGCAAAGGAGGCATTGGACATCAATGGGCATTGACCCATGGTTGTTGTTGAGAATGATGAATTTAAGTTTTGAGAAGCAGTTACAGGCCTCAAATTCTGATGCTTGTTCAGGAATGTTCCATTTTTAGAAATACAAGTATACATTCATCCTCTCCATCCCAACCCCCAGAACCTCCGAGAAATGTGGCTCAGTTAAAAGAACAGGACAGAACAATCTGTGGAGATAATTATTGAAGAGACAATAGCTTCTCAGTCCTTGAGCACTGATCTAGCTACGCTGAGAGATACATACCTCAAAGCCCTGAAGACGCCCCAGGTTCATCATATCATTGCAACGTTTTGGTACAAGGCACATTAATTCAACTGCTTTCTGTTGAATAAAAACAGTATATTAATTATGAAAAAGGCCAGAGTGCTCCTTAAGGAAAGATTAAAGAACACAGACTGCCACTAATAAGGAGGCGCACACATTTTTAGAAGTTAAAGGCATGATTCTTTCACTAATGTCAACGGGAGGTCTGGTATGCACGGACAAGCCCTCCACTGCACATAGCTTCATTTATTTTTTCTTCTAGTTTAAATTTAATTACGTGTTGAATGTTCGGTTTTTGCTCATCTCAATATTCAGGGCAATTTGCTTTCTCTACAAAATTCCACTCATTTAGCAGTATCCAGATAAAGCAGTGGTTCTCAAACTTTTTGGTCCACGGCCCACCCTGCTCAATGCAAATCTTTCAGACGACCAACCAACCAGCCACCCATGGTGACAAAAGGCCTTTGCTTATCTCTAAATACCTCAACTACTACAATTTTATAAAAACAAATACACAGCAACAACATAAAGGAGGGATGTGTAACCCATAAGAAAGGAAATATTAATCAAAATTGTTAAATAGTAAAGGAGGCATGCGTAACCCATAAGAAAGGAAATATTAATCAAAATTGTTAAATAGATTAAGGGCTTTAACTTTATCATGTTAATTTACCAAACTGTTTTAAATAAAAATAAAATAATTTATTTTTGTTTTTGAAATAAGATTTCAACATTGCTTTTATTTATGGCAGGGGTGTGGAATCATTTTTGGGTTGCGGGCCTTTGACCTACAGGGAAAAATAAAAAGATGCCTAACCCCCAACCCTCACTGATGTGGCCCCCACCTCACTTCCCGCAGCCTCAGTGGGGGAGGGAGAGAAGGGAGGACAGAGGTTCAAGGCTTCCCACAGGCCAGATTAAGTCTTCTGGAGTCCCAGGGCTAGTAGATTTGGTGCCCCCCTCCCCTCCCTTTCCCCAGCTCTGGTGTGGGGCCAAAGTGAGGGAGTCAGTGTACAAGAGGGGGCTACTGGGAGTGGGAAAGGGGTGGGAGTGCAGGGTCTGGGCAGGAGGCAGGGTGCAGGAATGGCTGGGGAGTACAGGGTCTGCAAGGAAGTTAGGATGCAGGAGCAGGCAGGGGATCAAGAGTTTGGATGTGAGTGTGAGGACTGGGCAGAAGGGAGGGTGCAGGAATAAGGTGGGGTGTAGGATCTCTGTGGGAGGGTGTGAGTGAGGGCGATGGGGTACAGGGTCTGGGCATGAGGGAGACAGGGGGGCCCTTACCTTGCTTTGCACACCATGCTCTTCCCAGGCACCAACCCCACTGGTCAGAATTACAGTCAGTGGGAGCAGTGGGGAAAGTTTCCTGCATTGCCATCGCACAAGCTGGGGGCAGGAAGGTGGCAGCAGTATGCAGAGCTGCTTCTTTCTCACTCAGCTGGATCCGCCGCCTCCCCCCACCCCAAAAAAAAATGGGTGGCTAATGCTGCCGCTTAACCTCGCGGAGGGGCGGAAGAAGTGCACAGGACTGGAGTGCCAGCACAGGCTTCCCACTACAGGAGAAGCTGACCATGGACTACGTGCAAAATGGTCATGGGCCACACTGAGATAAAGCAATAGAGGCCAGGAGATGAAAGTATACCTCTGTATCAGAACATTCCAGCCCAGCTTTCTCACTGTATCTCAGGAAGTCCTAAAGAAAGCAAGATAGTTCTAATGAAGATTTTTTTTAGGAAACCTATTATCCAATTTAAAAAGAAAACCACCAGTGAGTGACATGATACAACTTGACAGAAAACGAAATATGTACTTAACACTGAAAGAGACACTTTGATGTATCAGTTTTCAAAAGGTGTGTGTAAAGTAGGGAAATAGTCTACCCATTCTAGAGGTGGGGAAACAAGCACAACTGGTTGAATTGTTTTATGAAGCAGGATAGAACTAAAATTAGACTTTGGAAATGCTGACTCCGTTCAGGAGCAGCCTGAGGCCGGCTGCAGCAGCTGGCGCCCTAGGCGAGGCGGCACAATCAGCATCCCTGCCTGCACGGCCGTGACATCATCATCAGACACCCGGGCTAGCGGCGCCCTAGGCAGCTGCCTAGGCTCACAGGCCGCCCCTAACTCCGTTCCCTCTTAAGATGAAGATACTCTTCTATAAAATTTCAAAAAAAGTGGGGACACAAAATGCAATTACTTCTTTTGCAAGTAGTACAGTTACCAAAGCATAGGCTGATGGTAGTCAGTTTGACACACTAAGCAGCTTAAACCCCTCTCCACCAGTATCTTTATAAATTATGGGCAAAATTTCAGAGGTGATTCTTCATCTCGACATTTCAAAATAATGGCTTGCTGCATGGATGCACATTATATTATTTTGTAATGTCAGTTATTCTGAATTAACACTGTTGTGTAGGTATACCCTAAGAGCTGTGGGTGCTCAGAATCCTTGAAAAAAAATAAAAATAAAAGTCATGCTGTGTGTCTAAGTTGGATTCCCAAAGACGACATTGAAAATTTGGATCTGTCTCATTCTGGGGCACAGGATATAACATAGAAGCTCAGTACACAGTAACATCTGGTAGAAGCATTTATCTTCACTCATTGCCAGTCTGTGCTAGTGATATTTCTAAATCTGTTTATTCCATTTAGAACTGGCCATAAAATAGGAATGTGGTGGGCATTTTCACGGGGGAAAAAAAAAAAAATCATGTGAAATTCTCTGGTCAGAAAGTGACTTATACCCTATAGGAAAATTTGAAAACAAAAACCCACAAAAATTTGCTACAGCAAAATGAGCTATTTTCTTAAATGATTGTTTTCTACCTTTTGCTGGTTTGATTTTCTAGGGGTGAAAAGAATTGACATTTCCCCCACAATCATAATATGAAAAAGAGTCAAGAGTTAAACTTAGAGGAAAAGCTAATCAAAATCCATCAAAATGAGAGATTTGAAAAACCCTCATTTTCAATGAAGGCTGCTTTTAAAAATGTGAAACTCATGTGTTTTGATCAACTCTAATTTGTATTTGCCCTAAAAGGGAAATCCCTAAACCTTTGATTATTCTGGCAAGATTTGATAAAGCAACTGAAGTGTCTGAAAGAAAAAAAGTGGGTTGTATCCATGAAAGCTCATACCACCATCTACATGTTAGTCTTTAAGGTGCAACTAGACTATTTGTTGAAGTTTTTCCTGTTACAGACTAACTCGGCTACCCCCTGAAGCTTTTGAAAGACAGATGACTGACATAGGGTATTTAGTCATCAGGTACCGAACTGTTCTTAGAAATGTGCACAATGGTGACCTTCCTCCCTTCCCCCCACCTCCTTACTGGCTAAATGTCTATCTTCAGGTAAAAGTTAGAGGGACTAACATAACAAATGCAATTATTTCTTTTCCAAATAGTCCAGTTATCAAAGGGTGGGTTGATGGCTGTCATTTTGATATGCTCACTAGCTTAAACAAAAGCCAAGCTTCTCTTCCATTAACTCTTCGCTTAAAAAAATTAAAGAGGTTAGTTACAACCTACCCCATTAAGGTAATTTTAAACTGGTGTCAAATTTTAGAAAAACCTCCTCAGTTACAATGAAATTCAGAGAGACTTAAGTCAAAGTCTAAAGTGATCCTGATCTTCACCTGAATTGCATCTTTCCACTCACCTTAAGCAGAAGCTGGTACTTGGTTATTCTTTGAATAGGTTTGATTAAAAAGTCACTGAGGGTTAACCGTTGGTTTATTTCTTGTTGTACTTCCTAAAAGTATTATCACAACATTAAGCAATTGTTACAAACCACAGAAGACATGCATTCTATTAGCAAAGACAGGAAACGTGACATATTGAGGGGGACATACAATAAAAAATTGAGTAATTTTCTGCCAGAGCAAGAGGATATTTTAGAGAACTGAAGGATTTCAAAATCCGGTAAGTGTCACTTTTTGGCAAGTACTGGGCAAAATACTTGGAAGCTAATCTAAAGACCTGGGATTTTTTCCAGTTTGAGCAGGAAATTACAAATCTAGAGACTGCTCTTCCTATTACAGTTGGGTGATGGCCATAAAGAAATCCTGAAGAGCATGAAAGGTTGTAGTGACATTCCCTTTAGTGAAAGGGAGGACTTTCCCCTTGTCACTCAAGATTTTTTTTTTTTTTTTGCATTGTAGGAATTGTCCAGGTCCCCAAAGCACTCCCAGGAGTAAATGCCAAAGTCTTGGGGGGAATTAATAATTGTAAATCACCCAGCAGAATAAAACTCTTAAGTGCCAGAACAGTAATCAGCTAATTAGTTTAAAAAAAGCAAACAAAAAAAAAAGAAAAACACTACACCGCACCATAATCCCTTACTATTCTTGGCATTTGCCACCTGTGTTCTTTGCAATTTCAGACCAAGAAGGTGAAGGGAAGTGAATTTCACTTTGGGAATTCACTTTTGGCCTAGCCATTAGCTAGAAATTGACAGAAGAACTGGAATTTGGTAAGTATTAGGAATTGCTAGGAAAGCAGTGTAAATAGAATAATTCTATGCAAGAATAAATCCCATCACAGTATCTTTTTTTTAGCCAAACAGAGCCCAAAACCCATAGGTTTTTGGGTAATTCTCCTTTAACTTAATGTCAGCAATAATATCCAGTGTATATGGCCTACCTTACCTCAAAGTATGCATCGTATTCAGCTACTACATATTCAGATCGTGGTTTGTTTTGGCAGTACACCACATACATGTGTAACCTCCTCTCCTGTGAGGGCAAGATGCACAGGAATCTAGTAAGATATTAGCTACTATATTTACATTATTAAATGATTGGACTGACAAAGTTCATGAGAATAAGTAAATGAGCATCATGAAGCCGAGCAAAGGTGCAAAGCAATAGAAACAGGTCTCTTCTAGCCGACCCTAAATCTTCCCTCGATGAAATGCAATCAAGGCAATGATGCTTCCTCAATTACAGACTATTTAAAACAATCCGACCCTGATCCTCTAAACACTCAGGCATGTGAGTAGTTTTACTTTGGCAAATGGTCTCATGAAGTTGAACAGTGTTAGTCAAATGCACATATGTTTGCCAGATGGAAGTTTTAAACAAGGGGCCAGAGCCTCACTGCATGTAATTCCACATAGTTCCCTAGCAGATTTACGTTAGCCAAGGGTATGGTCCAGTGTCTTTACTATTTTTAAAAGCAAATGAATACCAGGAAGTTGGACTTCATCCTTCGGGTGTTATTTTTAACAATGATGTTTAAAAATAAGTAAGTCGCAAATTTATGATCTGCCATTAAAAACAATTTAAAAAAACTATTTTTAAATGCATTTTCAGAGAACGCCGAAACACTGGCATGTGGCATGCAGTCTTGTATTATGCAAAGGATTCCTAGCAAAAAAATGCAAACTCAACCAAATGAGAAATGTTACTGGAAAATGTTAATGCCCTCCAAACTTTAGTCAAATACAAGTACCTCAAGATGTGCTCAAGTTTTAGTCACTCCCATTTTGTGTTTTTAAAAAGCTGAAGACTTGTATCTAGGAAATAAGCTAACTGCTTTCAAATCTTAAATTTCATAATGTACATATTCCAGCTTGTTGGTTCCAAGATACAAGACACAAGGAAGGTGATGCATCTTTTATTAGCTGGCGTCTGATTGTGGAAGGGACAATCAAGTTTCACAAAGCTCTGTTCTCTGGTTTGGGGGAAATAACTGAAGTATCAGATATATATGCTTAGTCTGAAAGCACATGCTACTTGGATTGGACTAAGCAAATTGGCGGCAGAGGGGAAGAATGGGTTCACACTGCCCCTTCTTTTAAGACTTAGGGAAACCAGCCATTCAGTAGCTGAAGAAAACAAAAAAGTATAAGCCTTATTTTATATCTGGATTAAAAGTGTTAATACACAAAGATAGCAAATTAACATGGCCAAACTGAATTTAGAAGGAAAAGGCTGAAACATGTCACAGTGAAAGTCAGAACACAAACACTTACATGTTTGATAAAAAGCTGTGCTAAACGGTCATGCTCCTGGAGACATTTTTCTAGTTCAGCCAGGAAAAAACTGGAAGTAAAGAGAAAAATCAGCAATTTTAGAGTTGTTCCCTCCTTTCTACCATCCCCTCTTTTCTTCCCCATTATCCAATCCCAGAGAATTTCTTAACTGAACAAAAGGGAAACTTTGCTTTCCTTTAGGTATACACTGCACCTATTAACACGCTATTGGGACCAGGGGAGTGGAAGAAGAAAAAAGTCAGTTCTTGGATTTTAACCGTTCACTTGGTGGTTTTCATTGGAGCATGTTGAAAAATTTAGAGCTGTTTAAAAACCCTCCAGCATAAAATGAATTTATGTACTAACAACAGCTTCTAAAAACTGAAATAAGTTTAAAAAAAATGGGTTCAGGTGGACAAAGCCCATGCAGAATTTTACCTTCTGTAGAAATCCTTCATTTTGTCTAAGGGTTATTTAGTCACTAAACATTTTGATTACAAACTTTTCACCGACTCTACTTTGTTATCTTTGTGTAATTATAGGACAAGCCAATATTTACACTGATCTGCACTGCTGAGACACCTCCAGCTTGACTCCCTTTTAAGAAGGGATTTTATTTATATCACTAAACATGACCCTTGTTTAAGGTGCTTTATGTTTCTACACACCTTGACTGTTTAATAGCCACCCAAGGAAGTAGAACCTCCTTTCCCAGAGTGGATAGCCAACCAATTTCCAGTTTAAATGCATCTTTACTTTAGAGGCCAGATCTGGAGTAAGCAGGTCTTGGCAAGGTCCAGGACCCGCAAAGGAAATTAGCTTCATGCACAGCTCTCTGAAGTGAGACACTTTAGTGAGGTAAATCTTGGAGGTTCAAGTGTCAACTAATAGGGATTTTAAAAAGCGGGAGGTCAGAAGATTGATCATCAACCATTCCTTGCACTGACCTCAGCTAGAGGAGAACCACTAGCTACTAGAAATTGTGTAAGTGGTTAAACAGCAAAAGCAGCAGCATGGAGAAGGCCTAAGATATTGGAGTCCTGGTCTGACTAGGGTCCCCAATGTATGGCAGGGAAACTTTTTTGGGTCTGGCCCCCCCCCCCCCCCCCTTCAAATCACACAAGTGATGACAAAAAACAACCCTTCCTATCCCAAACTCTCACTGATGTGTCCCCTGACTGAAGACAACACTCTCCACATTCCCCTCATACAACAGAGCCTAGGAGGCTCAGGCTAGTAGATTGTGATCCAGCCCCGCTCATGATCCAGGTAAGCCAGGGGCCTGCATCCGGTCCCTAGGTTCCCCACCCCTGATCTACGGTAATACAAATATTGAACAATTGCAGCAACAGAACAGGTGAGGTGCAAGGACACTGCACACTCAGCCAAATGAGTGTCTGTAGCTGAGGAAACCTATAGCCATTTATATTTTGGTTTTACTTGAGGTCATGCATACTTTCTCCAATGGTTTAAGTTTTTCTACAGGAAGAGTACAGCTGTTAAAAGATGCAGATAGACTGGTACATGTAGCTCATGCTAACAGGTCATGAATATGTATTTCAAGAATTCCATTACAACAAGAAATAAATAGAATACACTAGAAATAATTACCAGAAATCCTACTCCATCTGCTTCTAAATGGAGTTTCATTAACAAAACAGAAGATCTAGAGGAAATCTGGCCTTATTCAGAAAGCTAGATAGTCTTGATAATACTTGAGGAATAAATGTCTGAAGTCAGTATTCTAATCCAGCACCTTGCAACAATTAAAATAGTTTGTTGAAAATTAATTCAATTAATGCAAGCTCTGCAGTAGTGAGCTGTAGCTGCTGCAAATTTACAAATGCCAGAGCTGAAATGTACTGGAGAGTCAATGACTACTATTGTTCTCGTATGTTTCTTTTCGGCAAGGGCTGTCACATTCAAGATTAAAAGCAAGATGTTCATTGTTACATTGTAAATAACCTACTTCTGGGACTTAAGTATTTATCTTGGACAGATTAACGGGGGCTAGCATCCAGCAACATACCATCACCCTGAGGAATTCCAAAATTTCCTTGTGCTTGTTCAAGCTTCTAAGTTCAATTATAAACCATAGACAGACACTGCTTTTTATATACCATTTCCCTTTTCATGTACTTGATCCATTCTGTCCATGTCCATATCCAAGTTAGCCTATTGCCATGATTGCCGGGAGAGTCTTGTTTTATTGCTGGACAGTGCATGGGCTGATTTTCAGGAGGTACTGAGCACCCACAAATCCCAGCATCAAAAGCTCTAAATAAGTTAAGCTCCGCCAGACAGAGAAAGTGACCTTGAACTCACTTTCTAGGCCTACCATCTAAGTGGCAAATTGTCAACTTAGGGAATTTCCAGCTCCAGGATTAAGGCCATATTTTAGAACCCAACCAAAAAGCTGCCTTTATTTTGAGGCACTAGTGCCCACGGAAGTCCAGCTGAGTAGAGAGTACTCAGCAGCACCTCTGAAAGTCATGCCATTTGTATTTGGGGCCCAAAGTTTGCAAGACTTTATGCAAGGTCTATTCAAGGTAAATTTGGTGTTAGGTACTGAACCCAGGCACCCCGATTTCCAATGCTTTCTTTTACTGAAGTAGAATTGTTAGAGATGCTTAAAAAAACAACTTACTCCTTGTGCCAGTCATAAATCTGGTGGATATTGCCAAATACAATCTTGTCTTTCCCTTTCAGATCTTCAGGAACCCCCCTTTCTTCTATTCTCTTCATGAAGCCCTGTGGTATGAATCAGTGATAAATCAATGGCTTAGCTGAAAAAGCTATATATTCTTTTTTCAGGACAAGCACAAGTTATGCGCCATAATAGGTAGCATCTCTTTCCTTAAAAGAAAACCAAGTACTTAAAAAATACATGTGATGCAATTTAAACACCCATCTTACATTAAGTTATACTCTGCTTACAAGGTTGTGAATGGATTTATTTTTCAACTTAATACATTTGTACAAACCTTTATAGGATGCTACTAAAAACACAGGTGCAATTAAAGTTACATAAGAGTAGTTTGTCAACATTTCTTGGAATCCCTGATAAGTGCAAGAAACCAAATGCTACATAGGTAAGTTTTATCAAAAAGAAGAGTATGAACTTCTCTGGTGCACAAGACCACTGTGAATTTATGGCCACAAATAGGATTTCCCATACCTTTGAGCACTCCATTTGAATCTTTGTAGCATTACAAATGTTAGTTTACATTTGTCTCATTTCACTATGAGTAAGACGCTTGGAAGTCTTTAATTTCCCAAGTAGTCGCTAGTTCTCAGCATCTTGGTGTTTTGGTCCACACCTTGGAACAACTAGTGTGATGCTGAATACCTCTGGCAGTCAGTATCTAGGTATCAGATACCTAGGGTACTCAAATTGAAGCATCCAAAATTAATGGACATTTTTGAAAATATGGGAAAAAACAACTTATAAATAACTTAGCAGCTTCATATGGGTTTGAGCCATGAAATTTGGATCTAGGTATCAGCTTTTAGAGGTATTCAAATGGAATTTTGGTTTGGGATCCTCCCTGAATTTAGTTCCATTATTAATCAATTCCAATTTCAGGTAGGACCTCTGTAATAGCAACAGGAGAATGCAAGAAGAAAGAGCTATTCTCCATCACCCAGATTATATTACATCTGTGAGACCCTTTCAGCTGTAAGCCAGGGGTCTGAAGGACTGCTTACAATGGAGCTAGCTGAAGTTGTTTAGCTCTGCAAGATAATTAACTGTTGATATGAAAATACAGCTCATACTGGTTTGGGGGAAGGAATCCGGGGTGTGGTTACGTAAAACCAATTCAGCCAGGGCTGATGGAGGATTGGTTGTTAGAATGGAATGTGATGTATTGTAACCAATTTGGGCTGTTGGGGGCGGGGGCGGGGGGAAGAAGGGGTCACAAATCATGCTACTCTTAAATGTGGGAAGAGTAAAATATGACACCAGTGCTTGCAGGAGAGACACCATCATTGTAAAAGGTCTCAGATGAACAAGCTTCCCACTTCCAGAATTGAGTGAACTGAGTTGGAGGGGGGAAGGAAGAGCGAAGAGGGCTTGAGCCAGCCTGCTTCATGTCTGCCAGGTGTGAGCCGTAATTCTGGTTCAACCTGCCCTCCCCCTGCCTTGTTCAGAGGATAGTCCTAAAGCAGACTCCATCAGGAGTCTTGTTGCTATTCCAGTGGAAGCTGGAATCTTTTGCCAACCTAGGTGGTAACTAAAGTTGAACTCACTAAGAGTTGAAATCACTGGTTTGGCCTGGCACCAGATTCATTGCAATCAGCGGAGCGGTTGGCAGGAATGACTGGTGGGCCAGTGGGAGTGGCTGGCAGGAACGACCAGCAGACCACAGGAACAGCGCAAAGGCGGCATGGCCTGAGGCTCAATGAGTGGAGTCCTGAGGGTGATGTGTCTGCATCTGCACTGACTGGAAAGATCTGTAAGTGGGGCATGGAGAAGGTGACTAGTGAGTCTGAGCTCGGCTGGTTTTGAACTCTGCTTGCGGTCGGTCGGTCTGTCTCACTCACTCACCCAGGGGTGTGAGAATTTCCCAGGCTACTGTGTAGGAGCTTGAGCCAATTCTGTGTGAGATGGAGGAAAAGGAACCCCTATATATTTAACCCATCCCTGGCTGCTGCCAGCACTACCAGACAGAAGGGTTACACATATATCACAACCCGAGAGAGGGGAAAAAAAGTCAGCCCAGATAAACCTTTGCATAATTCGCTGTTGGTTTTAAAGTCAGTATTTGGAAACTTTACTTTCTTTAGGCACTTTAGCACAGTATCCAATCAGTGGAACCTCTTTTGGCCAATCTGAGCAATTACAACTTGAGTTTAAAAGTCCATGTTTAATATCTTTAAACTCACCTCTACCACGATTCCCAAGTCTTTGACATAGTCCTTTTCAGTCTGTACCAGCTCATTTAAGACAAACCTAGATTATAAAAAAAGTAACTGCATCATTTCTCAATATGAATTCTTGCCTCTCCACCACAGTAGGTTTTCAACTAAGAAAAAATCCTTATTCCAGATCACATGATCTATTTCTTCACTACTCAGTTTCATGGCTTAATGGTTATTGTCTGATGAAGACTTAAGCTACCTCTGGCACAGATGAGGAATGTTTCAGAACTGTCGGGTTAAGTGCTCACCAGGGTTTATCCCGGGGTAGAGTCAGTTGATCCAATTACATAGAAAAAATTGTTTGAGGAAGCTGCACACTGGGGCTGTCTAGACTACGTTCTATTTCTGAAAGAGGATATGCAAATTCCCATGGAATGTGCATAACTTCTTCCAATCTCGCTTTCGAAAGCGGATCTTTAGAAAGTGAAAGTAGTCTGGATGCCCTTTAAAAAAACAACACTATGTGTATGTGTATATATAAAGGAAAAGAGATTTACATGGTTTCCCCCCCAAAAAGTTTCTCTCCTCTGCAGAAAAACCGTGTCCAGACTACTTTCAAAAACTTGGATTTCAAAAGTGAGATCAGAAGAAAATATGCAAATTCCCATGGAATTTAGTCTTTCCTAAAGTTAGCATCAGATCTTGAAGCAGTTGTAACTGCATAGTGCTGACCAGGGGTGGCCTGTCCTTACAGGGGAACTAGGCAGTCACCTAGAGTGCCAAGTTAAATGGGGCGCCAAATGGTGGCGCAATGTCACTGAGGGGTTTGGAGGTGGGGGGGCGCCAATTGCATGGTTTGCCAAGGGCACCAGTTGCTGGCAGCTGGTCTAGGACCGCCCCTGGTGCTGACTGAACAAAGGACCAGACACTAATCCTATGAGTGTAAAGGATGTCCATTACAAGATCAAAAACACATATTCCTGCTCATCCAGAAATATAATTTATGCCATCATGTGCCAGTGTCCATCTGCTATGTATATTGGACAAACTTCTCAGGCACTTCGCCAAAGAATCAATGCACACAAAACAGACAGTTTCACAAAGAAAAAACAAACAAACAAGTTTCTTGCCATTTCAACCAGACGGGGCATTGTCTCAACGACCTGACTACCTGCATCCTGCCTCAAAGAGACCTTAATGCCAGACTTCAAAGAGAAGCCTCTGAACTAAAATACAGGACTATGCAGCACTTTAAAGACAAGATGGTTTATTAGATGAGCTTTTGTGGGCCAGACCCATTCATGCTTAAATTTGACACTTTACAAATGGGCCTTAAAGATGCTAATTATCTTATCCATTACAAAAGATAGCTTCCCCAATTACCACCTCTAATATTCTCTCAGACATTAACCCCCCCCGTTCTAAAATCTGATTTTTCTATTGTATGTGTGTTCACTTTTTTTGATGGTATCCCTTTGGTATATATGGTTGTGACAATTTTCTTCCACTATTTGATCTGAGGAAGTGGGTCTGGCCCACGAAAGCTCATCACGTAATAAACCATCTCGTTAATCTTTAAAGTGCTGCATAGTCCTGTCTTTTGTCTCAGACAGTTACTGTGGAATAGGGTTTACAGCCCCTTCTACAGTTGTAATAAGGAAACAGTGAGCCATCTGGGGTTTAAATGCATTGCAACTGCTTGACTTCTCATCCTGTCAGCATAAGAGATAAAAAGGACAATACAGTAGTTTGAGGTGTTTAAACCGGTCTAGATAGAACGCCAAATACTCACCTTATACCCAGAATATGCAGATGTTCTTCACTCAATACAGCTTAATGAAACATATTGATAAGCAGGGGCGGCCCGTGAGCCTAGGTAAACTAGGCAGTTGCCTAAAGCACCCGATGACATCATGGGGTGCCCCGTGATGATGTCACAGCCAGTGACAGCTGTGCAGGCGGCACCGCCTGCCTGGGGCACCAGCTGCCACAGCTTGCCTTGGGCCGCTCCTGTTGGTAAGTGTCTTGTATGGTTTAAATGGAAAAGCCAACACTACAGGCAAGTTTTAGATATGGCCTCAAAGACAATTTCTCCTTACACACTATTCTTCAAGGAGGCCCTGTCACTTCCTGGGCAACATAATGGCCATTGGGAAGGATGGAACTAAAAAGTGGCCAAAACTCAGATTGAGAACCTGTCAGTCAAAGTTGTCACCACCACATTGAGATCCCAAAATGACACTGTACCTAACAGGGAGGAAAAAGCTAAAATCCCTTTCCAAAAGGGGAAAAAACCCCAAACCCACAACAACCAGAAATCACAGGAGTATGGGGGAGGCTGAGGTGGAAAGGAGATCATGTCCCCTGGATAGAGGGATAGATAGCTAAGATCACTGCTAAATGAAGCCTCAGGTTGCTTAATGAAATAACCAAGGATCTGAGGTGCATGAGATACTCTAGATGGTCTTGAATTTTACACTTTGTGGTTGCATTCTATGAAGATTTGATAACCCAAAAAGAGGGGGGGTGGGGGGGAGAGAAGGGGAGAAGAGGAATTCCATTTAGCCCTAGCAGTGGATCTAGTAGATTGCTTCAAATATTTATTGACCTGCCACTTAGCAGTTCTTTTGCACTTCATCTAATCACTCAACATTCATATTGTTAAATGCAGCTTTAAGTTTGGGGTGCAATATCTGTCCATGATACTTGGATAGCTGATCTGTGAATTAGGGGTAAAGGACAGATCCTTAACACCGAAGACCGTGCTTTAGCCAAACTTTGAAGCAAGCAAATGCACAGTTGGCAGACTGGGGTCACAAAGTGAGACTCAGTCTCAAACATACCTGGACTGCGTAGTAGGGTGTGACCTGATGGACAGACAGGTGGCAAATGGCCTGAAATCTGAGAGGAAGGAATGCCAACAAGTCTGTACATTTAAGGCCACATTTTCAGCAGGGAAACTAATATGGATTTTTGCCTGTATGCAGCATGAGGCCAAGACGCTCAGTTCACAGTCCATTTCTTTAACAGACTTTCTACCTTTATTCAGATTTGCCCAGTACCATCAAGTTGTACGTGAATTCCTTTCTTCCTCTAAAGGATCACCACTACCAGGCATGTGGCAGTGTTGACCTGTTACTACTAATCTCCAGAGCAGCAAATCAAACCAGTCATTGCCACGTAGGTCAGTGACTGGTGCTAGGATTTTTGCATGGTCTATGTATTTGATGAACTTGTGGAAGTTTCAAGGGTCCAGTATGGGGAATCATAGCAATACTGTAATTGACAGTCTTCCTGTCCTCAAGGAAAAGAGTCAAATGGATGCTACCCCCACAAATGACTGAGGAGGAACAGGCTATTTGAGAAGGTTAGTTGTGCTTCCTTCTTGAAAAACCTCACGCTAAGTTGATGTGCATAACGCCAACAGCAGTATCAACTAGTGTTGTCAATACAATCCCCTCCTGAGTGTTGGAGCATAAGCCCCTAAGGAGCAGCTGGTACCCCAAGGGCCTTAGATGTATGTAAAGTATTATTGTGTTATCTGGAAAGAAAAAAAAAATCCATCAAATGGGAAGTCCTCTGTAGTTTGCTGAGTGCCTGGGGCTATGGGTGAGTTTTGTAACATTAAGGCTTTCCTCAGTGATAATACAGAGCCCATCAGTATCCGAGAAGTGTCCAGTGCATCACGTACAGATTGAAGGTAAATTTTGCCTATAATGCAACCTTCAAAGAAAGGCTCGAACTCCTCCTGTGCATCTCCTCCAGAAGCTCATCAATAAACCTGGACATGACATCCCAGTTTACAAGCTATATTTGGCTAACATTATCTGAAGTATCTGAGCCGTTAGCTATGATCTTTGAAAAGTCATGGAAGACAGGGGAGATTCCAGAAGACTGGAAAAGGGCAAATATTGTGCCCATCTATAAAAAGGGGAATAAGAACAACCCAGGAAATTATAGACCGGTCAGTTTAACGTCTGTCCCAGGGAAGATAATGGAGCAGGTAATTAAGGAAATCATATGCAAACACTTGGAAGGTAATAAAGTGATAGGGAATAGCCAGCATGGGTTTGTGAAGAACAAGTCATGCCAAACTAATCTGATAGCTTTCTTTGATAAGATAACGAGCCTTGTGGATAAGGGAGAAGCGGTGGATGTCATATACCTAGACTTTAGTAAGGCATTTGATACGGTCTCGCATGATATTCTTATTGATAAACTAGGCAAATATAACTTAGATAGGGCCACGATAAGGTGGGTGCATAATTGGCTGGATAACCGTAGTCAGAGAGTTGTTGTTAACGGTTCTAAATCCTGCTGGAAAGGGATAACAAGTGGAGTTCCTCAAGGGTCTGTTTTGGGACCCGTACTGTTCAATATCTTCATCAATGATGTAGATATTGGGATAGAGAGTACTCTTATTAAGTTTGCAGATGATACCAAACTGGGTGGGGTTGCAACTTCTTTGGAGGATAGGGACATAATTCAAAATGACCTTAGCAAGTTAGAGAAATGGTCGGAGGTAAACAGGATGAGGTTTAATAAGGAGAAATGCAGAGTGCTCCACTTAGGAAGGAACAATCAGTTCCATACATACAAGATGGGAAGCGACTGTCTAGGAAGGAGCATGGCGGAAAGGGATCTAGGGGTCATAGTGGACCACAAGTTGAATATGAGTCAACAGTGTGATGCTGTTGCCAAAAAAGCAAATATGATTCTAGGTTGTATCAACAGGTGTGTTGTAAGCAAAACTCGTGAAGTTATTCTGCCGCTCTACTCTGCACTAGTTAGGCCTCAGCTGGAGTACTGTGTCCAGTTCTGGGCGCCACATTTCAAGCAAGATGTGGAGAAATTGGAAAGGGTACAGAGAAGAGCGACAAGAATGATTAAAGGTCTAGAGAAGCCTATGAAGCCAGGCTTCATGAACTGGGCTTGTTTAGTTTGGAAAAACGAAGATTAAGGGGGGACATGATAGTGGTTTTCAAATATCTAAAAGGGTGTCACAAGGAGGAAGGAGAAAATTTGTTTCTCTTGGTTTCTGAGGACAGGACAAGGAGTAATGGGCTTAAAGTGCAGCAGGGGAGGTTTAGA